CAACAGTCACCTCCGTGGGATCCCAAGTCTGGAGTGCCATGTATTTCTTGCCATGTAATCAAGCTGTCAGCTGAGCCAACCCACCTGAAAACTAATGGTTTTAAAAGCTGCAAGTTGTATGGATTTACAGTGAACCACCTTTAACTTGTCAGCTGCTCAGGTAGACAGCAATTTGTGTAAGTCTTACATTCTCTTGGTCAGTATAGCTGCAAAGGCATCTCATCCCTCCGGGAGTTAGCAAGTGTTGTTCAGCAACTAGTGCTTGAAAACGTTTAGTTTTTCACTCACCATCTTCTCTCTCATATAAAAAATAGTGAAATTTGTATTTTCTCTCCCAATTTTTCTCCAAAGCTTTCTACAGATTAAAATCCTACCACGTCCTTTAGATATTTACTAGAGAGCAAGCAGTATTTTAGCACAAGCTCTGTGCAGCCAAAAATATTCTTACTCTCCCGCGAAAGGAGCATCAACTTCTCCTTTTTATTCATTACGATCATCATTACTCACAACCCAAACGTTCTGTTTCCACCATCAACCCATCTCCCTGCACCTAAGCCACTCTGTTTCTCAGTTACAGACATTACACATTCATCCTTGTGCAAAATGAATTAACAGCTACTACTACTCTATTAGAAAGGAAGAGTGGATCCTGCTTCTTAGCTCAGTTCAAGCTCCTTCTGGACACCTTCGTCCAGGGCTTATCCTTATGTGACAAGCATTCACCTAGTCATACAGTATGTCAGTTTAACACATTAAAACAACCAAGCCCTTAAAATCCAACACAAAGTGCTATCTCTCTCTTTCTCCCCTCACTCCTAATCAACAAACTGAAACAACTTCTTCGTAAACTACATGCTCCAGGAAATAATGTGGCAGGCAGCAGACTTCAAACAAAGAGCAGGAAGCTGTTTATTGAGAACAAAGATTTACATTATCGTAAAATATCTCCTCCTTAATCTTTATCATGGTAACACACTTTTCCTAGATACTACTCACATTTTCACTCATTGATGCCTCCTATAGAAACAGAAATACTGAGTGTTGATGCAATTAAATTGAGCCAGGAAGGCTGTTTGCACAGGTCACTGTTCACCACAGGAAATAAAGAAATCAGAGCTCCAAAATCCTAATGCATCATCTGTTGAGTTGACAGCCTTAAAGTATAACTTAGAACACTGTCAACACAAGCACCACTGGTATTTGCTATTGTTCAGGTTGGGATGATGCTCCCATTAATGCAACCTGCAACTTGTTCCAAGTTGTTTAACCTGCAAGAGTTCAAATTCACTAAAATCCAGAATGGTAAATTTTCCCAAAAATGCGAGAAGTGAATTTTGTATTCCTCTTTGTGGATTTTCACTTCCTCACATTCTTAAAAGTTAAACACAGAGACTACTTCCTGAGTAAATAAACACACATGAATGCAATCAGCATGATCAAAACCAAAAAAAAAACATTTCTTTTCACCATATATGCTTTGTAACACACACTCAATGGTACACAAAAAACAACAGCACAGCTCTCATTAAATAAAGCCATAGAGAGACAATACACATTCCTTAAAAAAAGTCTGACATTTTCAAACACCTTATGGAATGCTTAATGTTGCTACCTTAATTAAATTTCTCTCTTTATCACAAGAACAACTTATCAGTTAAGCTGTATGTATTTTATTTTCAAAAGAAGTCTGAAATGTTTTAACTGCATATTTACAGGTTGGAAGGTGTCCCCTTCCTGAGGAGGCTTCTGATTTTTTCATATATTTTAAAAGATCTGTGTTTCTATCTAGTCCCCTTTATCAAACAGAAATAATGGGGCATGCTGATGTCAGTCTGAGTTAACAAGATTTACAAGAATCCAATTTAGCAGGGATAATTTGTGTAACAACATAAACAGCTTACATCAGCGAGCGCATTTCTGATTTACAGTTTTTGAAAATGCAGTCCCAGACTCAGTATTTCTGATGCTCCTTTTTAACTGTGATAGCATAGTTTTGTCAAAGATTCCTTTCTATTGCACCGATAGTTCGGTAAAAAAAAGAAAGCAAAAACCCCAAAGTTTCCATATACAGCACTGACAAGTCACAGACAGGGCCAATGTGGCAGTATTAGGAAAGGATGAGTACAAACACAGACTTCAAAAGTCACTGTTAAAGATCCTATAAGGAAAAAAAAGACCTGCTTTAAAAAAATTTGTCGTGCATATAATTACCAAATCCTTTTCTCTCTTTGATCACTTCCCACCTTGACTTCAGAAGCAATGTAGCCTTACTGAGCAAGCTGCTGAATGAAGGAATCTAGAAATGGCTGTTTAAACACATACAACAAAAACTGGGGGGCGGGGAGGGTGGAAATCAGTAAATGTCTTCAAGATCAACTCAACATGGGGCTGGTGAAGCCCAATCTCACAAGTGGTTCTTGAGTCATGATGCTGAGAATGTCTCTAATCAGAATATCTTCATCTGTGCAACTGAGCTTAGAGCTCCCACAAAAGGCTGTATTGCTGGCTTTCCAGAATTAAACCATCTCTTGCATGCTATAGAGGCAACAGGCTAGTTTCTATATTTGTTTTCATGTCACTTGAACCTCAGTACATGAGTGTCTCAGTTTTTATACTGGATAGCACTTGGCTTTTGTGTACTATGCAACTTAACACCACAACATTTGGAGGTGCAATACTTCCAGAACAAAATATAATTGCAGCCAATCAATACTTATTCTGACACTCTAGATAGCAAGATGGGCATGGCAGAAAGAAATCGAATCCATATTAATTAAAATTACAAGTCAACCTCAGGACCAAGGCTATATAGAGCTGACTTAAACTTTCAGCACTGAAACTCAGAAGTTTCTGAAGTTTAAACTGATGAGATCATGCAGGCATAACTCCCATGATCGGCTTAGCAAAACAGATCTGCACTGGAAAGGAATGAGGAAGGACGAAGTATTTCACACTAAGAAGCCAAGTGTAGGAAAAAAGAAACTTTCTGAAATCAAGAATGACATTCATGTAAGTTAAGACCCAGTATTTATACAGGAGAGTACTAGAAATTGTGAAATATACACCACTTAAAACTTCACAATGGTATGTGATATTGCTCACTCTTTGTTCCAAATAGGAGGCCAATGACTAAAAATAACTGAACATTTAAAATCTTTACCTCTGCTCCCTTATATCAAGATACAACTTCTCGTCGATTTTAATTACACTTGTAGTCATTACCATTAGGATCTTAAGACATGAACAGAAGACACAAATCAAGTTAGTTCCAGTAGATTGCCAAGGACAAGCACCAGGTTTCCCCTCTCCCTGGACCGTTGCTGGTTGGCCAAAGAATTTGACACACATCGTGTTAGTCAACCTGTTCCTCTTTGCCCACCAACACCAGCATGTCTACTAGCTGCTTCAACTCATTCATTTTTAGCCACAAGTTTTATTAAAAAATTGGATTTGCCATGAAAACGACTTTATTCAGGCAATAGGAATGATAATTTAGGTAATGGTGGATAAACCATCCAGCAGCAGAAGCCAAAATACTCATGTCATAGCTTTCCTTTACATATATTCAACCAGATCACACATTTTCTGATTCTCTTTTGTGCTGTGCCTAGTAAGCTTTTCAGACTGTTTGTTCAGATTATCCTCTCCTAAGGGTGCATTCAGGTACAACTGACCAGACGTGTCTCCATTTAGTTTGTAAGAAATCCCTGTAAATACTGTATCTAAACATTTCCTATATTTCTGCATGTCCTCATCACACAGTGCCATGGGTGTATTATACAGTAAAAGAAAGCACTTACCATAATTAAATAAACTTAAAATAACTGCATCGCTTTTCAAGTAAGAGAACTGACACGGAACACAGAATAGCACAACGTTTATTTGAACAGTAAATGTTACAAAGAAGTTACATACACATAAGCTAGAGAAAATGTTTCCAGACTAAGCACGGTGTAAGCCAGAAAACATCAAGCGCTGCTCCAGTGAGATAAGAGCAGCTTTTAGAAAATATATCAGAGCTAGCTATGCATATCACTGAAAATACTGCTGTAATTCTTAAAATACAATAAAAGACCACTAGACTCAACATAGTAAGAACTATATTTGATGTAAAAGTACTTCCCCTGTTATGTCAATGACATGGAATGGGAAAACAGCAAAGCGATTCAAAGATGCCTCAGAATCAGGCTTTACTACTATGACTAACATCATTACTTGGACAAATCACATTAGAGGAGTTTGGGAGGCTTGCACAAAGTCGACTCAGAAACACTACTCATGTTGATAATTGGAGTAATCATAGCTGATTAACACAGCTGACAAGATCAAAAAGGAGTATCAATTAAAAAAAAATAGATTGTATACACCACCACAAACATTTATAATTATATTCTAGCCAGTAAGACAAACAGTTTCAAATTCAAATAAGTACAAGGAGAGCAACTGCAGCTGTTTTTTTATTTTTGCTTTTAAACAATCTATCAGCACATCAGGTCTAATGGTATGTTTCACTGTGGATCCAATCAGTTCACACAGATTTACTGAGAGTTTGTTTTTAACAGGTTTAGCAAAGCAGAGAATGGGCTGAAGACAGGCAGGCAGAGCTGAGACTTTTACCTTTCAAATGGAGAAGGATCTTAGAGAAGCAACTAATGAACAAGGGCTCCAGGCTTAGGCGATGTATTGTAACACTTCTGCATACCAGAGATATTAATATGACCATCAATTACAGGGTTATACACAGATAATGATTTTCCATCATGTGGGCTGTTCTCTCGCAGGTCACAGCACACTTCATTAAAGCACTGCACCATGTGGTAATTTTTTTCTGTTTCAGATTAACATGTAAGGACAAAAGAAATTACCTGCAATACTTTAATACACTTTCTTCCTTATTTCTTTACTGTGGAGGGCAGTGTTTTTGAACTAATATTTGAAATAGGTAATGTCAGCATTTAGGATCTTCAAAATCTGTTAAAAAAGAAAAGGCTTTGTCTTACCATGGCTGTGAGCAGTTGCTGGGCTGAGAGATGGCTGGAGTAACTCTTTGGTTGGAGTAAAATAAGCTTCTTTCCCCTGGCGCTGGCTCATTTTTCCTGGAGTTAAAAGCTGCGATTCATCGCTGTTTGTTACCACTGCTGAAATACAAAATGGACGCTCAATCTTGTGTGCTTGTGTGTAGATTTATATCAACTTCAATGCTTCTCATGAAACAGGGATTGAATGCTGTCTTGTGAAATGCTTCTTTCTATAAAATGAAGATTTCAAACTAGAGATTTGCTTGGGAGGGGATGACAGAAAGGAGCCAGAAAGACTGGTCTAAGATATGAGTCAGAAGATGAAAACAAAAACCAGTAGATGTATGAAAGCTGCAGGCTACTACTGAATACAGACACAGCACTGAGCTGTTACTTAAGTTCTGAAACTAGGATTTCTTTGCTACTTTTTATACTTGGTTTAACTAGTCACAAGAGAGTTGACCCGGGAAACAACTTGCTAGGTCAAGCTATAGGAGCACCCCAGAAAGCTAAGATGAATGAATATATACATAAACATCAAAGAAATGCATCTCATTAATAAAGATTATGTAGAGAATATATCAAGAGAAAGGTTCAAAGTGGAACAGTTTCTCTCCTTGAACCTTATCAGTTGGAAAAGCACTTGTTTGATCTCTTCTAGCTATTCATAGTTAGACAGCCATCCTGTTTATGCTGTTCGTACTTATCCTTAAGCTGCACATAACAGAACTGTAAGTTTTTTGATGGGGGAAGAATGGCTGACTCAGTAACATCTCTCCTTTGGAACTAGATGTATGGGCAAAAGGAGATAAAAAGAAAAACAGAAGATGCTTGCTAAGCAACACTCTGCCTAAAAGATTCTAACTTACAATGCTGCTCACTTTAAAGAGTTACCCAGCTTTCCTCTAAATAGTTTTAAAAGTTCAGAAGAATATGTAGTCAAAATAAGTTCAATTTTCTAGATAGAACCTGCAGGTATAGAGGCTGTCTCCTTAGCTTTGTTACTACTATTATTATAGTAGCTCAAATGCGCTTCTCGAGCAAAGCCTAAAAAAACCACAAGGCATTAAGATGAATGTAAGGATGCTAAGATATCCATCTAAGATAAACCACCTAGAGCTCTTCTCCAGATAAATTATAACACGACTGCTGCTCAAGAAAAGTCAGCAGATAGAAAAGGAAGCAAAAAGCTCATTTTCCTAGTTCAGGGTTCAAATGTGTCCCTTTTTAACTTTTTACAAAGGTTTTTACACAGATTTGTTCGGTTGGTTTTTTAACTATCAAGATGCAATGATTTTTCAGATGATATCTACTCTGCAGTAAAATTCTAAAAAAGCACGAACTAAATTCCATGATATTAACTCAGCAACACCCATAGCAAGCTTCAGATTCCCCATTTAAACTCATACTCCTCCAAAAAATGATTTCATCCTGGAATTTCAGTAAATTCACAAAATAAATTAGGTTTATCTCTCAGAAAAAGAGCAATGGTCATTTACTCTAGTGTCTTGCTCACTTGTGAAAGTTTACCATGAATGAATGATGTTCCTAGTCAAACGTGTTATTTCTAATTTGCCCAAAATACCAAACTGAAGCTTTTAGTTTCAAACTTGGGCGTCCACATGTATCTGCAGTAAAATCTTGGCAAACTAATGACAGCTGTAAGTCTCAAAACCCACACTCAAATGCTGACTAATCTTCAAAGCACTCAAACTTTCTAGAGAGTACGGCTTTAGCTTCTTAATCAGGTCTTCATGGCAAGGACATTCAAAATCTGATTTTTCTAATGATCCCAGGGAACATATCACTTCATTCTTAGGTTTCATGTCATCTTTGCAACTTGAGAAACAGATTTAGTAGATACATACTCAGCATGCACTACAATAGCATTGCCAACCATTTCTTCCACTCAATGGCCTTGAAGTGGTTATGTATTTTTAGACTTCAGCTCAGGCTTCAGAGCACTCATTCAAAAGAGAGAAGATCTTAGTTCATCCGATCCTTTACCTGAACGGGTTTAAACTCATCTAATCTATCTCCTTGAAGCTAAGCAGAATGCTATTTTAGAAAAGAAACATCAAGTAGTAAACATCAAAGTCTCTTTGTGAATCTTTGGAGGGCACATTTGAATACCAACAGAACTGTTAGGGATGATAATTCAAACTTCATTCTATTTCTCACTACTAGCAATCAAATTACTAATTATAGATTGTCAGTAAGATTTATGTATCAGAAGAAATACAAATTGAGGTCTTTACAGCCAATTTAGTTCATCAGATAAAGTTATGAAAAAAAATAACTGAAGTGGTAGATTGCCAATTCTTCTGTTCCATAATGAGCATATCATATCAAAGTGCCTACACACTTAAAAACAATACAAGGACGTGAGATATAGGAAAAGGTTTGTACAAATTCAGTTCTGCATTAGTTTTTACTGAGTAGCAACAGTAGCTCCACTTACAGAAAATCCGGAAGATTATAAATTGGTAAATTAGCAGTAATTTGGTAAATTAGCAGTAAATTGGTAATTAGCAGTAAGATTTTAAATACTCTGTTCAGGAATTTTCTAGCACCTAGCATGGCTACTTTGTTCACTGAAAAAAAATATCAGAAAATAACTTCCAAATGTGGGATAAAGGGGCTTTGGGAACTCTATGCATGTACATGAGAACACTCTAGTAAATGCCTGCTTTTCAGATCAAACATTTATATAGAACAGCTGTCTCATATTTTTTTCAAAGAATCACAGAGAAGTCAAGGTTGGAAGGGATCTCTGGAGCTCATCTGTTCTATCTCCTCGTTCAAGAAGATACACTTAGAGAAAGTTGCCCATTTTTACATTAGACTGTGAGTTTTTTTGCAGTCAAAGTCTGGGAGACTGTACCTGCTATCTACAGCTCACAAGACACAGAAGCTGTGGATGCCATTAACTATATATCGTAAATTCAGACAAGAGGCCAGCAGCAGCCTGTACATTAATCTGCAAGACAGAGTTTTATTTTGTACATCTAATATCACAGGAAGTAGCAACATGTATTAATTTGAAAAACGAACAGTCAGATGCCAAAAGAACTCTTGCCATTGTCAAAAAGATAAATATTTCAATGATTAAATATCATTTTCATATTAAAAATGTGCCTCATCAAAATGAGTTCTTCATAAAGGGAAAACCCTTACCTGTATGGGGTACATGGACCGCCCACAAAAACTGATTAAAATCATAGCTTCTGCACAGATTTTTTCCAAAGGACAAAGTTCATGCCTGCACCTGTCCCTCCATACACAGACTCTAAATCCCAGGCAAAATTACTCTGCCAATCATGCGCATGAAGCAGTGGCACTGGTCGATCCTTGACTGCATGCTCATGAACACACAGAAGTTTTCTCTATTGAAACAGCAGAGTCAATCTTTGAGAATTACAGTTCATGCACCAGTTGATTTCTGATGACTTACTGAAATAACTTAGTGAAATTAAACAAACCATACAGCACCATAAACATAAAACTGCAAAAATGAATTTATTTCTGAACCACTATTTCCTTGCCTTTATTATCCACACTACAGTAGCTTCTCAAGGATTTTTTTTCAAAACAGTATATTTTCCACTGTATCTCAGCTTCTGGATTTGAAGACAGAAGCAAATCAAATATTTAGCCTAGGGGCTCACTTACAAAGAAAGAGACTACCTATTATGCACATATGTCCAAAATACCATAGTAAAGGTGTGTTCACTTACTTGATGGTCCATGAGAGTCTCTGTTATCACCATGATGCTGTGTACACATACAATTGAAGAACGAAGAACAGCAAACAAAAAGATCCAGGCCAGGAAGAAGCAAGTGCACAAAAGCAGCAGCAGCGGGAAAGAAGAAGGACAATGAAAACAGAGTTAGTTCATGGCTAAAATACAACGTGCACCTCAATAACAAAGGCGAGACCTCAAGAGAATTAGCAGCTTAGAAAAGTCAAAGCAACAAAACTGACACATATACTAATAAAGCAGCCATTAGAAGCCGTGGCTGTGTATAAAGTTGAAATAACGTTTATCTCCAAAACTGGAGCACTTTCAGACAGGTGTTTCAGAAATAAAAAAGCTCTTAATTGATCGTTAGTGTGCAAACAAGCGCAAAAGCACTAAAGCCATATCCACGCCAATGGCTTCAGTAGGCAAACACTGACCTAGAAGCCGCATTTTGTATCAAAATATACCCAAAGAACTAACTTGCATTAAAACATTATCTTCCTCCATTGAGATACATGAAATGCGGCTACTGCAGGAGAACAATCACATACTAACAGTCCGGACACCTTTCTGACATTGGAATTGGAATCACTTAAAAGTCACTACTACCCAAAGCCACAATGGGCTTAATATCCCACTGTGCTCAGCAGTATAGAGACAAGATAAGTTCCACCCATGTCTCAAAAGGTTTACTTTTGAGACACGCACAAAAAACATAGAAGAGTGAAAGCCAGCACACCAGCATGAAATGCTATTTCCTTTCTAACACCAAAATAAATCCAAAAAAAGCTGTACCTACTATACTTCAGACAAAAACCTTCTGTTCCATTTCCACGTAGAAAGGAAATCTTTGTCCTGCTTTGTAAAGCATTCAGTTTTACTTCTCTGTTATCAGGACTAATTAACAGCAAATCTGAAAGAAGTAAAAATCTTTGCAAGCAGGAAACTCATCACTCCTCATCTTAAAACACAGATTTTTATTCCTCACAGCTGCAAAGGGGCAGTAAATCATCACTGCAACATGCAGTGACAAGCAAACCTAAAATACTGCAACAAGAATTCTGAAACTGCAGGACAAATCATTGGAAAGATGAGGGAACGCTTCTTTCATAATGTTGACTTCATGGAAATAGATGTGATTGAATGAGAGAAGCTGAAATAAAGTGTGCTTGCTAAACAGCCTTCTGCCCCTTGTCAGGCACTTTAGGTCAGAGGGAAACACTCCTAAAGGAACCCATGAACTTACCAGATCAGTTTAAGTACCAGCATATGAAATGCATTCAAGAACTCAACAGTTTTCAAGGTACAGCTTTTTAGCAATGTACAGCAGACTAGGAGAAAACTTCTGTTTGGACTGTAACTGTGCTACCCTACGCTGTTTACAGATTGAAGAGAATTACTGACAGGAGAGCAAGGAAAGAGCCTGCAGTAACAGATCCAGCAGCTGATGGAAGGACTTGAAAAGCCAATGCTCAGTGCTGGTTTGCTTTATTTCACACTGCAAGTCAGAAAGCAAGAGAATAGAACTGGAAAAATAAATTACTAACAGGCACACAGATCAGAAGTTTCTGATGCACGGTTGCTAACAGCACATACTTACGTGTTGAAGAAACAGAGAAAAAGCACAGCAGAGGGTTCTGCCTCACTGCCTGCTTCTCAAGCAGTTTGCCCAAGATACAACATGACACCACAGAGCAGGGCAACCGGTCACCCGAGACGATGCAGGGACTTTTGCGTAAATATTTTAGCATTGCCTGGTTAATCCTATGCACCGGTACAAACAGCTCCCATGCCAGGGACTGAAACACAAGCCTGGCTAACTCTGATCTTCCCCAATAAACATTCTGTTTACACATCAAACCACATTCCTTGCTGGTCAGCGTCCTCTTCGCTAGAAAAAACTGGGTCTGTGCATTTACCTAAAACCAAATGAATATTCTGAACACGATGTGAGACATTAAAATACTGAAATGAGACTATCTCAGTCAAGAAGACCTCTATTTTTTCCAATAGCCTATTGGAACCTCAATGATTTGTAATTCCTATCCCTGCAGATCAGCAATTCTAACCCTTCAGGAAACAAAAAATGATCATTTTAGTACCTTGGCGGCTGCTTTGAAAAGAATGCACCCTCAGGGCATTCCTGTTCCTCATCTCCCATGATTTTTATTTTAAGTACAAAGAATTAAGAAAAATCAATATGCACTTATTTCCAGAGACACAGCCCACTGTATTTTCACATTTACTTAACTGAGGACACGCTTCAGTTACAGAGTAAACCTTCTGACAAGGGAGGTTCCCCACATTAAATGACTTAGTTTCTGCTGAGGCATATTCAATTAAAAATGTTTCTACCAAACCATACAAAGCTCAGCACTCCTCCCAGTAACATTTCAGCTATTCAATACCAGGGAATGAAGAACAGCGACACTGACCACCTCATGCAATAGCAGCAAGAATTCTTTCATACAAAAGCTGCTCTGTGCTTCAAAAAAGCATTATTTTTAGACAGTTATTTCTCAGGGATAAAGCTTATAATAACTGCCACTAAGCCTGAAATTACATCTGCTAACTTGTCCTATAAAATGAAATCCTTCTCCTGCTGAAGATTAGCCAAAATCAAAAGTGAATGTTAAGCTAGCGTGTCCCAATCTAACACTATAAGAGATCAATTTGTTAAAAATCTTTACTAGACTTACAATCTAAACCTACAACTAAATTCTTAATAGAGTTTGAACACGTATTTTAAAGCCAAATTAGAATTTTTAGCCTGCTGAAGAGAGACATTTTCAGGAAGCTGTCTTTATTATATATATATCACTAATATCAGTCATGTTTCAATTAAATTCAGGACCACTAACCCAGCCTGCAGAGCTGATCAGTCAAAAGGACCAATAAATTAAAACTTGAAGCGGGCGCGGGAGCCCCGGGAAGTTACTTTGCCATCTGCTGATGCATTTAAATAAAAGTACATATTCCTGATTTCAGATATAGCCTGTTATACTCAAAAGTATTTTATTACTGCCTTTATCTTATCAAATGAATAACTTCATGTGGTAGTTGAACCATCACAAAAAAAAAGTTTGTTTCTAATTGTTAAAAACTCATATTCACCTCGATTTAGAGAATCCAATTTTGCCCTTTGGAGGCAGCACTTTGTATCAGATAACAACTTTGGAAGGAAAAAATCATTTCCTACTTCAGTTATTAGAGTGCTTTCACAGAACGTAGCTTGTGGAAAAAAATAAGTTCTTAAATAATTCTGACAGCCTGATGATGACTAAGTGTCACAGCACCCTCTGTGCTTTTCCTGTTTTTAACTTGTGCTTAGAAAGTGAGCTGGGATATTCACTGCTTCAGAAAATTTATAATCTGCACAGATTACCAACTTTTGTATCTGAAATGAGCCTGAAAATACATAATTACCTGTCTCCTTTCTTTTCTGCCCCTCATCCCACTGAAAAATATATTTTTTTTTTTGTCCATAGTAAGTAACTGATAAAGTATTAACAAGTGAGACTGACAGGCATATTTTTCTTTTGGGATTCAGATGCATGAAGTATCAAATCCAAGAACCAGACATTTCTTGACATCCAGCCCTCCTGCCATTAGTCTACCAAATTATGGTTGATAGGACATAATGTACCAAGTGCATTTACCAGAAAAGTATTGACTCCAACAGAAACAATTCAAGCTGTTTGACCCTTCTCCTAGGAAAACCATCTTTGTTTTCATTTGAATACATGAAGCCACATTTAAGTTACTCACTGAATTTTTGTCAAGTTCCCCATCGGCCAGAACAGTCTCCATGCTGAAAGAGCGTGTTCTGTCTCTCCTTCAGCTACAGTTCTTCCATCCTGCCACACGTCCTGGAGAGAAAACAAAACAAAACAAACAGTAATGCCCAGTGTCTGACATCCATTGAAAATCTTTCACATTCTCTCTTAAAAGAACAAAGAGTCTTCTACTGTATGCCCTCTGTATTACGGTTCCTTGCAAAATGCACACACTACCTGTAAAACTCAGCCTTTCAGGAGTGAAAGGAGAGGTCAGCTTCTGAAAAAATAGCCAAAACAAAAGCTATTCCAGATACACTCAAGAAGGCAAGTCTTGACATTTAGTCACACTTGCAAAAATATAAGGAAAAAAAAAAAAAAAAAAAAAAAAAAAAAAAAAGGAAAGCTAGATAGAGGGAAATCCTTCGTTTTTCCCTTGTATTTTTCCTTCACTCCAGACAGCAGCAGCAGCACACCGCTCCTGCCCTGCAGGCACAAGCACATGTAAGCAGTTTGAATATATAGGAGCTGTTCTGGAATAGCAGAGACAAAGAGCTTCTCAGATTAACTTTGGAAACAGCCACATTTGACTTCACGGAACCACAACAGAGAAATTAAATTATTCAAGCCAGCCAGCCCCTCTGTGGCACGCCTGGGCATTCAGCTCATGGTCACTGCCCTGGAATCTGCCAAACAATGCCTCATTCTCTTGATATTTCCTATTTACTTCTCTGATAGAGAACAAAAGCTATAAAAAAAAAAAACCAACCTCAGTACTACATCACATTTAAAGTCAACAGTAAGACAAGAAAAGGGTTTGGAAACAGAACTCAGTGGGAAGGCTTAATCATGTGATTAGTGGGTTCAAAGAGGGAAGCAGATGAAGATGGGATGAGCGCAGAGATGCCCACCTCCACCCACGGCTCTGCCCCTCTTTCCACGGCCTCAGAGAAGAGATAGAAGCAGAAGTGAGGGCTGCAAGCCAGCCCATACAGAGTAGAGGAAGGCAACATCCCACAGGAGAACAACCAGCTGTCCAAGCAGCCTCAAAGCACATTCACACTGCCTGCCCTCTTGCCAGAGCAAGCACTCAGCAGAGTATTAGCCCAAGGACACTTTCTTCCTCCTTTCTAAGAAGGGCTGGGCAGGAAGAAGCTGAGTCAGAAGCCAGATGCTGAACATTTGGGCAAAAAGAAGAGCGTGAAGACGGTGGAATTTTTTTTAAGCTACAGTATTAGTGTACTGTGCTTGGGGTACACATGAAGCTGTAGCTTTAGCTCAAGCAATAGCAGAAAGAGTAACTGAGCAGAAAGGAAGGTGGTCCCACAGCCTTCTGAGAGCTGGAGGCTGCAGGAGAACAGGGAGAGAGATGGGAAAAGAGGAGTGGGAGAGCACATCAACCTGGCTGTGCAGCTCCAAGCCTGCCTTGGGAAATACACACTCGTGGAAGAAAATCTCTCTAGAAAGAAGTTACTTTGTTCAACTGTTCCATTATTACCATAGTTTTTGTTCTTGTATTACATAAAGCACATTAGAATTAGAACTCCCTTAGGCAGAGCAAATAGAATTAACACACTATAGCAAATTGAAATACTAAATTACCTTAACATATGCCACTGAAACACAAAAGAAATGATAACTTTTTTAAACAAAGTCATAGTCTGCCATTGTGCTTAAGAAATTGCAAAGGTTATTGTTCTCCATGACTCAGCTCAAGAACCAAGGAAGACCTTATTCACGGACCTCCGCAAGTACTGAGATGACACGTAACTGGGAAGTGTGCGCATGTATGTTCACATTTAAATTAAAAACACGATCCATTGGAAGGGAAATTATTATAAGGGATTAATCGCCATTACTGAGGTGAAAGATAATGTTACCACGGGCAGAACTTATCCCCACAGCTTTGCTTCCAGGAGCAGCAGGCACAGCAGTGCTCCCTCCCCAGGGGCAGCCGGGGTGCAGGCCACTGAGGCACAACCGCTTCACGCTCCTGCAGGCCGCTCCTTTTCATCTCTTCACCCCACACCCATTTGGGGCTCTATTATTAGTAGGCTATTCAACAGCACCAGGATGGCTGCACACACATTCAATTTACGGAAACACTAAGCACTCTCAAACAGGATGAAAAAGGAGTGACACTACAAACAGATGTACACACTGATACCTAAAGCAGTTAGTCAGCTGTCTGAGTTGCACGAACTCGCTGCCACGCTCAGTTATCCAAATAAACAGATCTTTCCTGACACTAGAACATTCACCCTAAAGCTGTTTTAAACAGATCTCTATTTTTACCAGATGTCTTTGACTTATGATTTTTATTGGTAACACTCCTGATGCATTCTGGTTCTGTCTGCCCACAAAACTGCAGCCCCTTCTTCATCTTCTCTCCTTTCAGTCCCAAAGGTGCCACCCATGACACCCACCCTCATATCCACTGCTTGGCATTTGCTGCCTCTTGTGGTGGCCAGGCAGCAGACAATCCAGAACAGCCCAGTGCACCACAGAGGAGTTATGGGGAGGGAAGGCTTTGCCTGCCCACTGGAACAGTTCATATCAGCAGATATTGGGCTACACTTACTTCTCTTGGCAAAACAGAGGCTGAAAGCTTACAACTTTGGTTCTGAATGCGCCAAAGTAAATACCAAAGCAGGAAAAGGGATCCCTAGCAAAAGGATATTGCCAAAAAGGAAAATACAACCCCAATTTTAAATCACCACCTTTTTAGCTTCTGGGAGGCCTTTATGATGTGCTTTTGCTGTTCTCATCATGTACACCAACACTGACAATTTCTCTGCCTGGTTGGTTGGCTTGGGTTTTTTAATTTACAGATGTTCTCATTCTATAATTACACCTCTTAAGAGATTAAACATTCAGAAGAGCTCACAAACTGAAACTGTTTCAAGATAAATATATTATGATAGCCCAGCTAATCCTGTTTCTTTTATAAACAACAGATACAAACAGGAATTTAGAAAGGCATTGCTCATTTTAAAGCAGCTGCAACAGTTGGACAAATCATGCTATAAAACAAGCTATTTCTCTCCAACTGTGAAAATAATCTAGGGTGATTAGCTCAGAAGCATACATTTCAAGTAAACATTTCAAGTAAAAAGAGAGATCCAACTTAGCACACAACCAACAACCTGTCACGCTAACACCTCTACTTCATTTCCATTGCTGTTTCATCAACGGACCAAGTTATTTGAATCTTTGCAGACCATATTTAGGTAGGTTTTAGCTTTGCCCTTAAGTACTGTCACCTGCAGTCATTAGATATCCCATTTGCACCGTGCTGCTTCCTCATCTGCTGTAGTATCAGGGTTTACACTGCAACACAGTACCTCGTAGACAAGTGCACAGCCCCAACTGTGACCTGCTAATGGGCCCCAGAGAGTGCTTGCTGAAATGGATACCCAGCACTGCTCTGGCCTGCCCAAGGGGGAAGTATTCTCCAGGGCTCTGACCTCAAAACAGACCTGCTAATCTGTTGGACACCTGCTTTCTTTCTTTAAGGTCTAGAATAAGTTACTGCACTTCTAACGCTCAAGATGGTTATCAGCTAACAGTATATTCTAAATTTTGTTATGATGACACGGGTGTAATTACTTGACTTCAAAGATCACTGTGGCAACAAATACAGACAGGCACACCGGAAAAAAATGAAACCTAGCTGTTTGCATTGACATCAGGAAGGGTAAGAATTGACCTAAGTCCTTTTTGCAGTCACAACAGCACCGAAGAAACACTCCATGGGGAATCACTGAATCATTTAGGTTGGCAGTGTCCCTGAGTCCATCTGCTCCAACCTCTGCTCAGCAGGGACACTCAGAGCAGGGTGTCCAGAACCATGTCCATGTGGATTCTGAAGATCTGCAAGGAGGAGACTCCACAGCTTCTCTGAGCAGCTTCTGCCAGTGCTCTGCTTCTTGGTGCTCAGAGGGAACCTCCTGTGCTCCAGTTTGTGCCCACTGGCTCTTGTCCTGGCACTGGGCACCCTGGAAAAAGCCTGGCTCCATCCTCTTTGAATCCTGCCTTCAGGATCACCTTTTTCTGGCTCAACAGTTCCAGCTCTCCCAGCTTTTTCCTCCTCTGAGGCGCTTTGCTGATCTCCAGTATGTCTATGCCTCTTTTGTACCGGGGACCCCAGAACTGGGCACAGCACTTCAAGTATGGCCTCAGTGCTGAGTGGTAGGGAATAATCACCTCTCTTGACCAGCTCTCTGCAGCCCAGAGCATCACTGTCCTCCTTTGCAACAAGGGCACACTGCTCCTTCACAGTAAATTTGGTGTCCACCAGGATCACCAGGTAGCCCCACATAAGCAGTTCTCAGCTGTGGTTGTCAGTGGGTTCAGTTCAGTAATGCCTGTATGAAAGCTTAAAACAGTACCCTTGAGAACAGTATAGGTGCTTAAAAAAAAATAATGATAAGTTTCTTAAAAATAATTCAAGTATCTTTCAGCAGCCATATGACAGGAAGAAGGCATTTCCACTCTGGTCCATGCAGTGGGAGACATGCAGGAACACTGAACTCTGAAGAAGATATACATCTGAATGTCCGAATTCAGTGCAGCAGAAGAAATACAGCACCCTGGAAGCAGCATAAGACCACACAGCAGCTCTTTCAGTCCATGAGTGCACACTGAGCGTGCACTATTAACAAGATCAGGCCAGCTTCTTGCACATAACACAATGTCACCACATGCCAAGGACCGCATGTTTGTTGAGAGCAGTTCCGAGAAAGCAGAAACTGAAGCTGAGTAAAAATGGCAGCTGTCCAGAAAGGTCAAAAGCAAGTAGAAGACCTTGTTAAAAAAAAAATAAATCACATTTTCTTCAGCTACCAAAGTAAACATATTATGCATGCTAACAAGAATTTGTAAGAACTAGAGAGAGGTTTTACTCTGCGATTCTGTAAAAGAGAAATCTGAGAGATGAATTAACCTTGCAGTTCCATGTCTCTAACTGTAAAGCCAGGCAAAGTACAAATGCTTGACAAAACTAGTGATAATCTAGGGGAAGTTGTACATGAGTAACTGCATGGTTACCTCTGAACCACAACTTTAAATAAAGTTTAAACACCAAATTCAAC